CCGCTGTCACCCGGGCTGCTGCTCGGCGTGGCCTCCCCATCCCCTCGACAACAGGCCTCGAGCCCGGTGCTTCCTGCCTTCCCGGCTCCATTCCAGCTCCCTTTGGACCGTAGGGACTAGCCCACCCCGTAGCTTGGCCGGCCCCTTCCCCCTGCCCGTGGTCCTGCGATGACCCAGGCACAGCAGAGCTGATGGGGCTGCTATCCCGCCAAGCCAAGCAAGTCCATCCCGAGCCCTAGGGAAGGGAGCTCCCAGCAGGCAGCCCCTAAGTCACACCAAGCTCCCGTAGCTTCTCCCGCAAAGCAACAGCCTCAAAACACAGCACTGCTTCCCAAAGCAAGCTGTGCCCCCGAGCAGCACAGGGCACCCGCTCCCGCAGCTCTGGAACATGAGGGATGCCCAGGTGGTTTCTTTTCCACGAAGAGTGTTTTTTATTATCTTTAGGGTTAGAAATCAGATTTTCCTGGGTTTGTTTCAGGCCAGTGCTTCACACTGCTGGGAGAAATGGCTCTATAGGGAATATTGGTGTTGATCTAGATCAAGCCCTCTCGTCTTATGTTTGCTGCAGTTGCCTGTGTTTCTGTGTGTCACCTCTTCCCTGATTTCCAGGCTGTAGAATTCGAAACGGTGAGAGCGGCATACACTTCCTCTTAAACAGGGATGGGAGGCGCAGGGGCGATGCCTTGATTGAGCTGGAATCGAAAGCTGATGTCCAGAGAGCCCTGGAAAAGCACTTGAGATACATGGGGCCGCGCTATGTGAAAGGTACGTTGGAAAGGGCAGGACAAAACGGGAAGAAAAATCACGCTCCAGTTGGGAAGAGCTACTTGAAAACAAAGCGAGCAGTAGAGCTGACGTGTGGAGGAGAGCGGAGGCCGGAGACGAAGGGAAGAAAAGCAGCAAGAGTGGCGGGGGGGCGCTGCCATGTCAGACTGGGCTGGACAGGAAGGCCCCTGGGGTGCCCCCGAGTGCTCTAACGTGAGGGAAAAATGGGATGAAGGTAGCAGGGAAAACGTTGCCATGGAGGGCGGCTCTGGCGGGCGCCCCGTTTTGCGTGCAGGGAAGGACAAGCTGCCATGTGCCGTGTCCCCGCAGTGTTTGAAGTACACGATAAGGATGTGGAAGGCTTGTTGCAGAACTTGCGTGACGAGTCCAAGGCCATTAATGATGGCGTCGTGATGCTCAGGGGGCTGCCCTACAGCTGCACAGAGGATGACATTTCGGATTTCTTCGCGGGTAAGTCGGACGAGCTTTTGCTCTGCCTTCTTTCCCGCCTCAAGGTCAGTTTTGCCGAGCTCTCGCAACGCGCTCGAGTCTACCAGGAGAACCCACTGCCATTGTGAACAGTGCAAGAAGCCACCATCCCGTTGCAACTGGAGGCATCTCCAGGTTCCAACAGCAAGGTTGCAACGCAACTGTGACTATTTCTGCAGGTCTGACCTAGGGCCAGTACTTGCAGCAGTCGTCTGGAGGGAAATAAGGGATGAATCTAGATCATGTTTTTCCCCACGCTTGGATCGCTACCGGCACCAATGTGGCTTGTTTGAGCAGAGAGGAAATGGATGTATGACAGAGCGCAAGTGAGCCCAGCTTGGGGGTGGATAGAAGCACAGCCGGAACAGGACGCACATGCTCCTGGCAAAACTGCTGTACAGAGGCCGTGTGTTGCCTGTTCTTGGCTGGTGGTTGTGAATGGCGACTAGCGAGTCGCTCCACTGAGCACACAGTGGGTGTCCTGCAGCCCAGGGGCTTCCTTAGGGAGAAGCTTTCCTGGGCTTTGCAGAATTGTTGGGTGTTTTCCTAGAGAAGGATGAAGTTGCAGACTGAACCAAAACCGATTCTTTCACCTCCTCCCGCTCTAGCTGTGCACACACACACAGATACCCTCATACTATTATGAGCCTCCAATACCAAGGCTCATAATAGTAATGATAATTCATCCTGCCAATAAATGAAGGCCACTAGTAAAAGTGTTCCTGTCACCACCACGAGTTAACCAAGGCATTTATATGGCCAGTAGCAGTGTTAGCCCAGCGAGGTGACTAAGGCAGCTCATGCATTTTGGAGCAACTGTCACCTTTTCTCTGGAAGCTTAGGTTGTGAAGACAATATTGAAGGACACCCACACTCCTAGGCTTAAAAAAATACATATGTAAGTTTAGAGGCCCAGCCTGGTCTGCTGGAAATGTCTTGCTGTGCGCTGCGTCTGATGTAGTGACTGAATGGCCTGCAGGCTCTCTAGGAAGATATTCCATGGGGGAAGGACAGTGGGAGGGAACAGCCCCTGAGCTGAAGTTGGCTGGGGTTTAAAGAGGAGAATGAAAAAAAGTCACCGAAGAGAAGAGTTCTAGTTTAAGTGTTCTTGTGCTTTGGGCTTCCTCATTCTCTAGAACTTCTGTTGTTTGAAACCTCACATGGATGTGTTTCTGCAGCTGAAGCTCACACTAGAACTTCTAAAAATACAGTAAAATGAAATAAAGAATGAGGAGAAAAAAAGAGCCATATTTGGGCCAGCATGAGCAGCTGATGGAGAGCTATGTGACCTTGGCTTCTCTTAAAATGGATGGCGATGGGAAGGGGTGTCTTTTAGAACTATGGCACAAGTGCCTCTTAATTATAACTGCCTTTTTCCTCCTCCTCCTCCTTAAAGGTTTGAGCATAACTGACATAGCGTTCGTTAACCGGGGGGACCGACGGACAGGAGAAGCTTTTGTGCAGTTTGCAGCTCCCGACATGGCAGCCAAAGCCCTCTTAAGGCACAAGGAATACATTGGGAACAGGTAGGTGCATCGCTCCAGTTAATGGTTCACAGCAGCTGCCCTAAAGCACCAGACCTGTTGGCTCGGGTCCCTTTCCCAGCTCCAGCAGTTCCTGGCCGCGCATGTCCCACCCTTAGGCACCTCCAGCACCCTCTGGGCTACCGACCGTTCGCCTTCTCCTTGTCACGTTGCACAGGGCTGAGCAGAGCCACCTGCGCGGGTTTCTAGGCCTGGTACCGTGTGGTTAGGCGAGAAGGGGCTGTAACATCACGCGGGGCCAGGGCGGCCGCGCGACAGCTGCTCAGGCGGGCAGCGAGGCCCCGTGCTCTGCCTAAACCTGCGAACGCCTGCGCTTTGCTCAGCGTGAGAGGGCTGTACGTCTGCATAAGAACCTGTACTTCTGGAAGGCAACGTAATGTTGGTTTGTAATGATTGATGCTACTTCTACAAGAGCTTTCTAAGGGGCTCTGAACTAAAGATGTCATGAGGGCAACATTGGTAGTTGGTCTGGCCATGTGTGTGTGTGTTTAAAGAGAATGACTGTCATTTCAAGTCAAAAAGGGTCATTTCAAGTTAAAAAGGGTTCTCATAAATCTAACTGAATAACTTAAATTATTTAAATAATAACTTACTTCTTCAAACCTGTTACTTGCCAGTTACAGTGTACCATAACTCTCTCTCCCCGTGCAGCGGGGTCTGGCGCTGAGGGCAGTATGTCCTGCAGCACAGCAAGGCTTTTGTGCCATGCGGAGCGCTCTGCGGAGGGTGCACGCGTGTCACGTAGCCGTCTCCTTGCTCTAGGTACATAGAGGTCTACGTCA